TGCGAGTCGGGGGGGGGTCCGGCCCCCCCAGGAGGGCGAGCGGGGGCGGCGGTCGAGGGAGATTCGGGCGCCCCCCCCCGGACAGACAGACGGACATGGGGCGTTTTCTCTTCTACCGGCAGTTTCTCACCCCCCCCCTGCAAAATGCGGGGCGCTGACGCCTGAGCCCCCCTCACTGCGCCCCCCGCGCGTCTCGCCGCTGCCCGGGCTCCCCGGATTGCGGACTTGGGGGGCCCCGGACGGGCAGCGGGGGCCCCACCCCGAGCCGGGGGGGCCGCGAGGCAGCCAGAGCGGGGGGGCCCCGCGCCGATCACAGATTCCGTAAGTCTCGCTACTTTCCTGCCTGTTTGGGGGCGCCGGGGGGGGTAGCTCCGTGCCCCCCCCCGCACTTTGGCGTGGCCTGTGCCGAAGCTCTGCGCACGCGTATGTGAGGCCGGGGGCGGTATGGGGGGGATTGGGGTGCGGGGGGGGAGCTGGGGGGAGGGGAGGGGAACCCCGTCTGGTCTCTGGCGGCGATGGGGGGGGGGGGCGGGAGACAAGGGGCAGAGACCGCGGGGCTGGGCCCGTCTGGCCCTGGCTGTATCCTGCGCCCCCCCGGCTCTGCTCCGGGCCCGCTGTCCCCCCCGCCTTCGCTAGACCCCGGCCCCCCGTTTTCTCTCTGCTCAGTCCTCGGCGCCCCCAACTCGGCCTGACCCCCCCGGCCTGTCCCCATCGCCCCCTTCCGCTGGGGGGACCCCCGGTGCCCCCCGTTAGCCCCAAACCCAGGGCTGAGCACACGAAGCGGGGGAGGGGGACACGGGGCCTGTCCCCACTGGGGGACCCCGGCCCCGATCCGGCCCGGGGTGGGACTGGCTGACTAAGGGGGGCAGGGAATGGGGCTGGGGCCTGTCTTCGCTGGGGGGCCCGGGCCCCGATCTGGCCCGAGGGGGACTGGCTGGCTCAGAGGGGCAGGGAATGGGGCTGGGGCCTGTCCCCACTGGGGGACCCCGGCCTCGATCCGGCCCGGGGTGGGACTGGCTGGCTAAGGGGGGCAGGGAATGGGGCTGGGGCCTGTCTTCGCTGGGGGGCCCAGGCCCCGATCTGGCCCGAGGGGGACTGGCTGGCTCAGGGAGGCAGGG